TAATTCGATTTTTTAATTTCTTTTTATATCTTCGACAGTCTGCGAGATATTGGAGCGTTTCCAATTAAACGGGACACATTGTATGTATGCTGTGCGCTTGTACGTACATAGCTTACGGGAATCTCGCGACATAGTGCGTGTAATTTCCAAATTCGAAAGTAAATTTTCAATAATAAAGATTATAAAGTACATATTAGATTGGCAATAATGGTACCCTTTGGAGAAATGTTTATTTCAACCAAATAATTTTTGGAATTTTGCCTACTCTCGTTTCTGTATAGCCCAATATTCTGCACCATAAATCATTGCAAATTTTGTTTTAATTATCATTTCCCACTTATCTAAAAAGATTTTTTTAAAATGAGAACAAAATTATAATCTAACTTTTGCATTTTTCAGAATTAACTCCAAACATCTGTTTGGATAAACAAGTTTTATACAATATGAACTATCGATAATTATCGATAGCTGGATGTCGATATTTCTCAAAAATTTTCCAAATATATATTTATGATAGTGAAATAAAAATTCGGTCTCGTCTCGGAGACAAGTAATCTGTAATTGAAGGGTTAAATTACATTTCTTCGCCAGATGTAGTACCACGTATCAATACAAATTTGTGTACTCATGAATAATTTTCACTTCACATTCAGTAAATATCCTAATACTTATGAACGGGAGTCTACGTACTCACTTGTACTCCGCTTCTTAAAAGGGAGTAAATACTTTTCGATTCATTATGCAATTGTCAAATACACAAGACAATTTTTATCGTAGCATCAATTTGTTGTAACGAAAGACAAATAAAATTGTAACAAGATTGTGCTAAAAGAATAAAATTATAATAAAAGCGTACACAATGAAAAACTGAAGAAAAGAAAAGGAATGTAGAAATTATAAATTTTATATTTACCATTATTTGTCCATTTAAGTTGTATTGTTACATTTAGAAATTTTTACGATACACCGGTAGAGGTAAAAGAATGGCAAAATCAACTTCTGTGTTGGTCAGTTGGATTGGAATCCGGGAGTCAAGAATAGCGTGAAACGGCTTTATTCGTTTATTGGATCGACGAAAGTCCCGGAGCCTTGTGGGAGTAACAGAGGGGATCTGGGTTACGAAGGGTCCATGACACCTTAAAAATTCATTATGAAATAGCTCACACAAATCTGCACTTACTACGAAGACACGACCGATCAAATAGCAGCGCAGCTAATCGTTAAAATACTCTCGATTGTCTCGTACTTTAAAATATACATACAATCATTATGTATTATTAATGCTGTTATACGAGCGCCAAATTTCAAGGTTGAAGAGAATTGACTGGAGGAAAATTGCTTTGGTTTTTACCATTAACGAACTCGACAGAATGATCGAGCTATAGATGATACATTATATAGATACACCTATGCATTTTTAAAGTCTCCCTTTTAAACGTAGACAGTATTTCCATGGAGTTATTTTCTTCGCGATGGAATTAATGCGATTGATTAAAATTATGTCATCCATGATGTAAACAAGATGGAACGAAGAAACTCATTTTTAGATAGCGAAATAAACGAGAACTTACTTTCAACAATAAATCGTAGAGTAAAGTGAAATTTTATGGAAATAAAGTAGAGATGAGACTACGTTTAATTTGTAAGATCTTATAAATTAGCGAATATGTAAAGTAACACTATAATGAAGATTGTAATAAATGTTTAATAACATGCTAAAATATTTTCAAGTTACTTGCTTATGAATGAGTGTTTTTAGTATAACAATTTATGTTTACTGTTACTTATTTAACATATAAAGTGACAATTTAACGTTTGTATGAAAAATACTGTGCAACTAATTAATAATAAATAAACATCTTTCAAGATTACCTTTTGCAGATTATTTCAATAAGCTTCGAATTAAAATTTAAGAATTCCATATTTTCGATAATTGCTTTGAACAACGATAGAAGACAAATATCTGACAAAAGCGTACATATTCTTGCTATGGATAACGAAGTATCCAAGTAACATTGTTTACGTGCAGTGCAATAATCACTTAAAACTATGTAGGTTAACCAAAATCGAACGGAAACACAGGATGTCTCGAAGAATCGATTATTCCTTCGAATAACGGATGTGGTTTTTTAAACGAAGTATACGAAGTGAAAAACAAAAGCGATTTCACCGGAGTCATTTAATTATTTCCTTTGTTAGAGAAGTTCAACGGAAGTAACACGAACAAACTGCATTTAATTATATTCCTTTAACATTGTGTTTGTTAATTTTCAATTATTTGTTAAATCTTGCTGCCAAATACGAAGAAAAAACAAATTGAAACGTATGTACAAATTAATTTGGCAACTGAGCGAAGGCCGACGTTCTAGCGAGTTTTATAAAACATTAACAGCTACTCAGACACAAGGAAACACTTGAAATATTCCAAATTTAACATTTGCAGATTTTCCACGTATAAATAAGTCGTTATTTTTTTATTCTGCGGAAATCCAAAACGGAATACAGTGTGCAACCCTAAGCGCAACGACATCAATCGGTCTTCCAGTTCGAGGATTTAATTTACGACCTCGCTATATCGTCGCTCGTGCTATATCATAATGTATCAAGTTTTCAACGCCTTCATAGGGTTAACTCGTACAATGTTAATTGAATTCAAAGGTTTATACAGGGTGTCCCGAGTTTTTTCCGACAAACTACAGTAGTTCATTCTTCGGATAAAAATAAGGAAACAATGTTACATAAAGTTCTGCTAGTTATTAGCAAATATTGACAGCATGAAATAGGTGCTATTCTGGTGTTTATTATCTGGTAACGATTCTATGTCGTTAATAGTTAATATAATTAAAAACAATTACTTAGTATTGAAAACACTTTTAGTATTTTCACACAAGCTACCAGCTTGCCCGATAATTAACCCCTTAGCCTATGATTTCTTTTCTGACTATGCATCTAAGCGTCAGCCATTTACTGTTTTACTACTGTCTCAGGTAACGAAAGCTAATCTGTTACAGATTAACAACATTTAGTAATCCTCAGTCTTACAAACTGAAACAAAAGTTAGGTTTACAATTAATTTTTCCTACTAATATAACTATTTTTCTCACATCTTGACCAAAATCTTTGCCACGAGTCTGACACGTTGTTATAGGTTAAAGGGTTAAAGACTAACTTCTAAAATGACACGGAATCGTTACTAGCTAATAAACACTATCTGACTACACAGACAACATTTCTTTCTTATTAGAAAAGAAAAACCTGAAAACGTTTTAGAAAAACCTGGAACACCCTGTATAACATATCGAAATGACGAACAGCCTTTTCAAGAAAGGTAAATACTGCATAGGATTGCGCTTGACGAAACCATTCGATATATTCAAGGGATGAAGAAAAAAAAAATACCGGTATAAAACTATCCTTTCCTATCCTAGCGATTCAGTCAGAATTCTCGAAACATCGAAGATAAACGACGAGCGACGTGCAGCAACAGAAGTAGCAGCAGCAGCAGCAGCAGCAGCGACCTTGGCGTTAAGGGTGACTGAGGCCGACCAGTTTACGACGTAGCTACTAATCCAACAGCGGTAACGGCGACAGCCGAGCGAGAGATTTCGTAGTGGTCGAACAAAAGTACGACGGCGAAGGAAGAAAAGTAGGTAGACGGCACGAGGCGTCTTCGACGAGACAAGGTTGCGCGGGGCAAGGTTCGGTGGAAACGCGGGGGTGGCTCAACGTTGGTTAGGAAGGGCGTGTAACCGTTGGTGGGAGATGAAATAGAGACAAAGGATGGAATTAGAAGGGAGAGAAGAGGAGAGAATAGAAGCGAGAAGGAAAAGAGGGAGGGTAAAATGTAGGAAGGATGGACAAACGGGTGGTCGCGGTTAGCGACACCCATACCGTGTACGAGAGCAAGGGCAAAGATGGCCGACCTGAATCACACGAGGGGCGCAAGCGTGACCGTTCTAGTCTCCGCCTATGCACGATTCTCGGCTCACCCCGTGGCGAACAACCCCTCTGCTTGTGAGCACGCGCCGCTCTGCGAATCTCCTGGATCACCGACCACCCCCTTGTCCCGTCGCTTCCCTCTTCTTCCTTCATTCCCTCCATCCCCCGTGGAAGAGTTCATCCACGGAGCACTCTTTGCCGGCCAGTCAGCGCCAAAAAGTGCACAGCTTCAGGACAACATCCGCGTACCGTACGTGTGTCCTACGTTTTGTGCCCGAGTTGCAACAATTCCACGGTGGACAGTTTTTTTTTTGTTCAATATTTCTCAGTGGATGTTCGTCCAGAGTGATCATTCTGTGTGACACCAACATCACACCGATAATCTCCCGTTGTTCCCCGAGACGTCTTCTATATCGGTGGACTTCTTCGGAATCAGCTGCTCTACGATAGGAAATTATTTATTCATACGCTCAGTCGAGGAACGCCGCCGCGTTAAACCCGTTTTTTCCCCCCTCGAAACCGTTCCTATTTGTGAAGTGAAAAATCGTCAGATCGGGCTGGAACGAATCCGGGGAACGTTCAATTGTCGCCATGGTTCAGACATAGGACGAAACTGTGCGGCGAGTCGCATCCAGTTATATTGTGTGCGCGATCATATGCAACATGCGAAGGGATCTACGATCTCTTCAATCGACCGTTGCCAATTCGGTGGACTGATCAGTGGTCCGCTCAAGGACGATAAGGATGAGTGGTTGCTCGTAAGGAAGGAGTAACAAAGATCGAATAGTAGAAGATACCCTCGGTAATACGGTGTTTCGTAATTTTAATTATTGGTGCGTTCTCTGGTTCGAGGGCTTTGTTGGTGAAAGTGAAGGTAGTGAAAGTACTCTCGTGCAGGGTGCACACAGGACATCGATAATTCTTGTCACACAGATGCGAACTGCGGACACTGATGTGAAGCAAATGCGCGGCTATCGCTGTTGGTACCGTTCCGTTTGAGTGTGCCGGTTTTCAACTGGTTTAGGTCTAAGCCTAGCAGCTTAGACTTGACTAGCTGCAAGATGATGTACTCACCGGACAAGATGATGGGGAGCAAGGGACTCCACGGGGCACCCATCACTGCCCCGGGTTGTTTCCCTTCGGGAAGGTATTCGCCGCCGCCTTATCGTGCCGCACCAGACCCCATGCCACCACCGCCGCGACGCTGTATGCCCAATCCTACGGTGAGTAGTCACCGTTTTATCCCGCCTTTTACTTACACTTTCGCTTCTCGATACGGTCGTACTTTCTCCAATCGAAGGGGATCGACTAGGATTTCTTGTCGTAATAAAAGACTTGCTTTGAAGAAAGGTTTCGTTACTTGATTGTCTTGTACGGTGATTATTAGTGGATACGGAATAGGAATTTTATTCAGGTGTTCGTGTCAATTATTCTTACTTTCGACAGAGGCCTATTAGTGCGTAATAACTGTTTGCTTCCATGTTTTTGATCGTTGGCCAGGTCCTCTTTTCTGTTTGGAGACTGAAGGGTATTTTTTTTATTTACTTTTGATTTTCTGCTTGGAGAATGAAGGGTACTTTTTTTTATTTACTTTTGGCTTTCTGTTTGGAGAATGAAGCTATTTCTTTGAAAATGGACTGACGAAGACGTGTTTGTTTTTCCACTTTGCAATGTATATTTTGATTTTTGGTTAGTTTAGAGAAACTGGTACATCTTTATCTTTAATATTTCTATTGGTTTTGTCTCTAACTTATTATTATTTATAATAGCTAGTTTCTATTAAAGTTATAAGGTAGAGTTTCTCTGAAACTATTAACCATGATGTCAAATAATTAGCCCCCGTTATTGGGTATTACATACTATCATTTTAAAAAAATTTCAACGATAATTTAAACATCAATTGCAGATTAAACGCAATTTCTCATTTTTTTCAGATCGAATCAAAGCTACTAGATTTTTACTCATCTATTTCTAACAAATGTACCTAAATAAAAAACTTCGAATTACTTCTCGACAGTCATAACGACGTTCCAAAGCTATTCTAATTTCAACATCTTCTAAAGTACCTAAATACTTTCAGAAGATTAAGAATCCAAGTACCCAAAATAAAGACTTCAACGTAGAAATTATTTAGTTCAAGAAACAAAGTGAAAGTAAGTGTCTCGAAACGTCGTTGTTTATTACTGCAATAAATCTCGATACACGTAACATCTCTTAAATTTCACTGCGCAACCTTGTCAGTCTACAGACTCGTAATTCACTTCACTTGTGCCCGCGCGACAGTAGATCACTGCCGTTGCATTTAAAACGTGATTAAACTTTCATTCGTTCGAATCGATCTGTTTGCTTACATTATTATTCTACCGCGAGGTATCTAAGAAATCCGACGTGGTGGCAGCATAAATCAAAAGATCGCGATTAAAGTCCGCGAAGAACAATGCATTATACATGAAGATCTGTACGGGTACACTCGCTGGAAGAAGTAACCCAACACATTTCGAATGTAAGACAGCGATAAAAAGAGACATTGGAAGTTCGCATCATCCATTTTCATTGGCCACAAGTTTCCCCTGTCACATGTATCACACATTTCGTGTATCCGTCGTTTATCTTACCGGCGGTTGCGTATCCCCCCGTTCAAACGCTTACGACTTCAACTCTTTCGACGTAGAGCTCTTCGAGAATCATTTCTGTAATTCTTCTTTATCCCATTTGCGATTAATTGTAACGTGAATTTTATCGATTTCTTCAAATCGACGTTTTCTTCGTTACTAGATAACATTGACACGATAAATTGATAAATGTAAACGATGATACATGTCGTTCTATATAGGTAAACGTTCTGCGGATTATACGAATTTTTCTATTTCAATCATCGATTTATCGATTTATTGCGGAAACTTTTAGTAACGTGAAAACACTATTCTCGTAACTTACACGAGACGTTTACGATACTTTTCTTAAAATATCAATATCGAGATTGTTATTTTACCAATTTCTATAATATTATAATAGTTTCTTGACTAAATGGTTTTCCATTTCTGAAAATGTACCCTTTTTTTTTTAAATTTCATTTACTAGTGATTGGTATATTTTGAAATATATTTGTTATTATAACTACAACTTATTAACGATAAGCGTTTAATTTAGTTTAATTTGAAATTAAGTAAGTCTTTCGATTGCCACTAAAAGTACTAACTCCTTTCGTAAACTTTACAATTTATAAATGATCGCTATGTAGTACTGACACTAACAGCACATCGTTAACATTATATTTAATAAGGTATAAATTATTGATTTGCTGCGTCCGCTTGCTTCGTAAACTTCACTTTATGTAGGTACTTATTGCCTTCTGGATTGAACGTATGTATTAATGAAACGTGCAAAAAAGCATTAGAAGTCCACTTTGTAATATTGAAATAATAGTCTTGATAATTGTACGGATCTCTATCTGAATATTCACATAATTGACTTACATAACTCTGAAGAAATGGGATAATCATTACACAGAGGTAACACAGAGGTAATTACTGCATAATCCAAATATAAAATACACTTGTTTAATATATAAAAAGAATTTCAATTACAAAGTTTGTTCTTTTTGTTAAAAGCAATATCTTTGTTACTTTTGATATTTTTGTTAAATATCTATATCAAATTGTGTACCGAAGTTTCTTAACATTTTTCGTACTGAGAAAACAATTTCTCGAAATATTTTATTTGCAAATAGAGTAGTGTCTCGTACAAATGAATCACAATTGTACAATCTCGGTTCGTCGAACAACGAATATTTTTCCTAGTTAACTCATCGATGTAATCCAATTTCAATCAAGTTCTTTAGCATAATTCTTCTATATCGTTTGCATCGTTAACCCTTTGTGGACAGAGCGATTCGAAGCCAAACGTTCTGTGGAACCGAGTCGCTGCAACGATTAGTCAATTGAAATCGTCGGCTTACTTTCCTCGCGTTCCGTATTGAGACACCGATTAATTATTCAATAGGTAACTGCGTCAACGTTTAATTATTTTTTTCATATACGAATCTTTCGGCTCCGTCGATTATTTTCGCCCGGCGCATATACGCATATAAACTTTGGTACCGTATTCTATTGTTCCCAAAGATGTAAAAAGAAACACAGTATTGATAGCCTGGAAATACTAGAAAACCTTATTATTGCAAGTGAAGAAATTCGAAATACATCAGAAATTTTTGAACGTCTTCGACAGTTTACAAACTTTGCAGAAGGAAATCATTTTCAGGAATTTCTTTGAATAAGTCTTAAACATTCCTTCAGAAAAGTGTGTATATCTCGGAAAGGAAGAGTTCTCGGACCTACGGTTACGTGACCGTTGTTCATCCTTAGAAACAGTAGAATACGGTACCAAAGTTTCGCCACCTATTTCCTTGTCACCCTGTACAAGTCTATCGGCTGCGCTGATGGTTTGCGCGGAACGCATATGCGCCAATCGTTCGCAAAGGGTTGAAACAACTTTCCAAAACCAATAAACTTTTCAACAGGCTTGAATTGTTACTCAAGGCTTGTGTGTTAGAGCCGTGTCCAATGACTATTCAATTCCGATGTTTCGTCAACACTGCAGTTAATTTCATCAGGGTATCCAGACACGTACACCGTTATATTCCCGTCTCGAGTCGTTCAAATTTCGAAAAATCGCTAAAATAAAAATAGAAAAATCGTTCAAAAATGCAAAAAGGAATATCGATTTTTTTGACCCCTAAAACCAAAATACTTCCTTAATAATTTTGTAACTACTGTTTAGGTTTGCTTCACAGTCAGTAAGTGTCCTAATCGTTTCAGATTTGGGTTTCTAAGTATACCGTGCTCGTGTCACGAATTATCGGCTACCAATTGGCTATATTTTTATTTGGTCAGCTGAACAACTAAAAAATAGGGAGGAGCTTGTCCCAAATAGGGCTAAGCCAATGTCCAATATCTCTGTTGACGTTATTTCGGTGTTTCTTTATTTTTAAGGCTTCCCTGTATTTTCTCTTGGTAAGTACTCCGCAGTCTTGGCGGTAACTCCGGATTTTTCAAATTCTATTTTGCGTCCCGGAGTTTTGTGATGTTCCGCTACGTCTGATTGAATGTATCCCAGTCTGGTGCTCCTCTCGCGTTCTTTGAGTTTGGCGCCCACATTCAACAGACTGTTTCACTACCACCAGTACTAGTACCGCTACAGAATTCACTACGGTAAAACTGTTTTTCGCGAAGGAAAAAGTTCTAGTTCTTGACTCAGCAGCAGGATCTTTGAAAATTTCTAGGGAGACCTTGCAAGAATCATAGATATCAATGGCCGGCAATTTCAATACATCGACGAGTTAAAACAATGATTAAGAAGAGATCGGAAAGATTAAAAATTTATATAAATCTCTAACGATACGTGTGATCTCCGTGATAAAAACTAAAGAAGGCTCTGCAGAATACTAAATATTAAACCAGACTGATTCATTTTTCCACATATTCCATTTCTTAAACACCTGCGCTATCAGTCCGTCTCGCTGATTTTCTTCAACATTTGCATTCCTTCAGACCAACCTATATATCGAATGTCGCCATTTCGGTTTAATCAACATTAAAATACATAGAATAAACTTGATTTGCGTTACATATCACACAACAGTTGAGCAATGAATACGGTGTGATATCCTTTTATCCCTGACTGTACACCTTCGAAACGAGGGATTCAATGAAACTCGCGTGCTATTTCGCGCGACCTCGACTCGACACCTTGCAAAAGCATCGAAGACTGCGAGAAAAACACACGCCCTCGAGCGATAGAGGTTTCATGGCGTAACGAGGACTATATGAAGTAGCAGCTATCTAAACAGAATCAATCGGAGTCGAGTTCTGACGCCGCGCCGTTAGCGTATCCCTTCTTTTTCTTCTGACAGGTCGGTTGTCCTGCCAAATGTATCCATCTGCAGAACACAAATCCCCCCCCCCCTCTCTCTCTCTGTGCAGGCTGGAAAGAGCAAACGTCGAACCCAGACCTGTCCCGCCCACCCCTTATCCCGCGATCTCTTTCCTCCGCCGTGTCGCGGACTCCATAGTCTTTAGTTTATTCATGTGACGTAATAGGATATAACCTGTCGCTGCGAGCCGAGTGGTTGGATGAGATTACAGCCGTATTGTTACGCCAGGTAACGTAGATCCTATATAATCGCTCCTTTCTGCGATTTTTTCGGCCACCTTTTTGCTTCACG